TCACACTCCTACCACAACTACTACTAACGAATCTAAAACAACTAAGTTTCTCTAATATTTTGTGATTTGCATTTGATTTCGTCCAGCCAGATCCTGCCGGACAATACATGACGGGACTACCAGACTGATGCATCGTCCTAAAAAGCCCCGGCTGCTATAGGCAAGATGCCGACAACGGGGTCGGGGAGTAATTGACGATATACCGTGTATGTATATTTACGTTCATTTTGTACATTTCTAAAAATAAAGTTTAATGGAAATACTTAGTAGGCCTATCCTTTCTTCCCTGAATTATTTGCTCCTATAACATATCATTCATATATAGCAAACCATGATTTGATTTCTCATCAAACAGTAGTAGTTTATAACAGGTAAAAATAACTTACTCTTTCTTATGACCGGCTCGTAGCCCACAACGGAAAGACAAGGAGACATACACGAGTTTACAAAACCACGGCACATTTATTGTGGTAAATGCAGAGATAGGTGGTCGAGGGGAGAGGATCGCTGAGCCGCTTTGGAGAGAGAGAGGGGCCGCCGTGTGACTCCGGGCAGCTGGCTAGCACCTCGGCTCCGGCCAGGTGTCCGTGATCGCGCTGATTAGCCTCTTCAGCTCCACCCCATCGTAAGACAAAGGCCCTGGGGCTGTCACACTCTTCTATAACAACAGTTGTAGGTACAGTTCGGTTAGTTAGCGTATAAAATATACGGCTGTACCGACGCCATTATAAGACTGATGTTCCGCTGAGAGCAGCCGGAAAAAGCACTGTTAGACATGGGCAGAGCCTCTCTGGTGGTTGACAAATCAGAACAGAGTGGCCGAGCTGACCAATCGGAGCACACTAGGCTCACAGGGAGGGGGGGGCAAGAGCTCCAACGAGTCGTTTAGTGGAGAGAGTGAATACTGCTGAATACACATACTTGACAGAGATGCTGTATGCGAAACCAATGTGAGTTTGGAAAATTGCACAGTATAAATCTATTTTAGTAGACCTCAACAATGTAATTATGATCAGTGGAAATGGCCATGACATGGGCCCTTTAAACTCCTCTAAAACGTACTAACATTTCCCCCAAACTCTCGCGGGCACTCTGGAAGTATTAAAGAACAATTACAACACTTTTGGTTTCATTTCTTCACCGGTAACATACCTTTCAGATGGGGAGAAATTATCACAAGAGTGAAAATGGTGTTTCATCATGTACATTTACTCAAGTGAGGGAATTACCCGAACCCCAAATGTGTTGGTGGAGACAACAAAAGCAATGGATCTCAGGATCCTAGATCAGACATTTAAGTGGATCAAAGATCAACATTTTATATTGTCAAAACGTAAATATTAGTCATCTTCACAGTTTAGTATTTAATAAACATACAATCTTTGTGTGTCTAATGTAATATATGATCTTTTTAACCACATTACATATTTTATCACAAGAAAACATGAATTTACTTTCTTCTATTAAAACAATCTATTACACCACCAGTTTGTTCAGGGACCTACATTCAGGTAAAGTACAAACACAAGAAGGTAGAACAGAAATTGGTTTCTAATATATGATAAAGCAGCTAATTTATTTACTCTTGTTGTATTTTTAGGTATCAATTCTGATTAGTTAATATAGCAGTAATGTTTGTTATTGTTATGACCTGGCTCAAAAGGCCAGAGGAGACACACCATATCAACGGTTAAGTAAAGTATGAGGTGTGGACGTCAGTGGAATCAGTAGTGTAAATGCAGGGTGAGGGTTGCATGGACATGTATGTGTGAGGGTGTTGAGGTGCACAAAGTAAAGCAACTGAAATAACTGATAGCATACTCAACAGAACCGGGTGCCTGCAGGAAAAAGCAGAGGGGAAACAGAGAGGAGCAGAGAGCTGCAGGGCACCAGACCCAGGTACCCTGAGTTACTGCAATCAAGGCGGCTGGATGCAGCACAACCTCACCCTCTCCAGATGACCCCACAGGGGCATCACAGTTATTCTATGAACAAATATACCTTTGTATTGTGCCATTTTGTTTTTCCACCAGCCCATTAGTCTGTGGATGGTAAGGCGAGTGCAGGCTTCTCTGAATGCCCATCCTCTCACAAAGGTTATAGTTGACCTTGAAGTAAACATTGGGACAAACAGGAAATAAGTTAGCACAGCAGTTACATAATGGGGAGTCATAATTCTTCAAAGTAGTACCTTATTACAAAATTCCCGGCCTTGATCTGTTAGCAGTCTTTTAGGTGCACCAAATGTGTAAAATAAATCAAGAATACACTTGGTCACCTCATCTGCTGTTTTGTTTTTAAGTGGGTATGCCTCTGCCCATTTGGTGAAATAATCAACCATTACACACATGTACTGGTTGCCACCATCGGTTACATGGAGTTTACCCACTAGGTCCATGCCGACAAGCTCCAGAGGCTCTGTTACCTGAGATGAAAAAAATACACATGAGCATTGCAGTACATCAATGTTGACATCTTTGAAAGCTGAAACTGTCTGCAAATGTTTCCTTGTACCTCCATAGGACTGTAGTCTTTCTTCTCTTTGATATTGGCCCTCTTGGATTGGCACTGGGGACATTCAGCAATCTGAACAAAAAAACACACTATAAACTTTTATGTGTTGCACTTTTGTACCATAATTTGTAATTTACCTCATTATTTTTGAACTCACCCACTTGCGGATGTCCTCCGTCATGCCAGGCCAAGAAAATCTTTGAATGATGGCCAGTTTTTTCCATTCCAACGTGTCCACCAACAATGGAACTCTTCGAAGAGCATGTTGGCTTCTTTAGCTGATAAGACCACTTTTGCAAGATGCTCAGCCCTGTTTTTTTCCCTCCTGCATATGTAGTGCAGATCGCCACCTGGTATTGAATTAATTTAAATGTCATAATGTCAGTGTTATCATAGCAGATTATGTTCTGAAGACCACATGTCTGAAATAGTTACCTTTAATCCTGAAGGACTCTGCTCTTCTCTTGATACCAAACCTTTGTTTGCTAGTCAAGCCATCAGGATAGATATGGCGGATGAGTTGTTTCACAACGTCTGGATCCATGGTTTGTTGGCCCTCTCTAATATGTAGCCCTACACTTATGCTGTCCCTCCAACACACACACACACACACAGGCAAACAACTACTCACTAAATTACCACACAACACACTCACAAGGACAAACACTCTATCACATTCAGTACCCACTCACGCACAACCAATCTTTCTCTGTCGAATCTCACATTTCCACCGGTTTATATAGCCTAGCCCTAGAGACAATCAAGGAGCGGATCACAGCTTGTCACAGATGATCATGATCATCTGTGACAAGCTGTGATCCGTGTGAACATGTGCTTCAGATGATCCAGTCATCTCGATGCTGCTTTCGGGCTGTGAATAAACAACTTGTGTTTTACTTTTAGGCTGTCTGAAGGTATGGACAGCTATCAAAGCTACTATACATCACATTAAGAACGATGTAAAAATGAAAGTCGGACATAATTTAAATGATTTATTCAAGTTTGCAATGTTTTGAACAGGCATCCACAAAGTCACCGACTTTGTCATTTCCGATACCTCCCTGTAAGCGTCACGATATCGACCTGTCACCCACAACCTCACATTCGAGTACTGAATGTGCATCAAAGTGATCTTATCAAATCAAGTTTTATTTTTATTTTTTCTTAGGAAGGCAGATATAGCAAAAGATGAATGTAAACGACAAACGAGGCGATCGACATGTTTATTTCCTGGTAAATCCACAATGGGTCCTCAATGTACATGCCCCGGATTCATGTGACGAAAATAATAGAATGCCGCCAGTTGTCATGACTCAAGTTATACTGTAACACCGGCGGTCTATCCGCCAAAACAAACTTAAGTTTGTGTCAATCACTTGCACGTCACTTCTGGTATGATGGGCATTCCCTTTCCGGTTTGATTCTCTAGTTTGTTAAAGTGTTTCGGGAAATGTTAAAGTGTTTCGGGAAATGTTAAAGTGTTTCGGGAAATGTTAAAGTGTTTCGACACTTGTAAATGTGTCTCTAGCTTTGTAAAAGTGTTTTGCATCTTGTTAATTTGTTTTTGTTAATGTTAAATAGTTTTTTCTTTGGTAAAAGTGTTTTGCTAATGTAATTTTGTTTTATAAAATGTAAATTTGTTTTATAAAATGTAAATTTGTCTCAAGCTTTGTTAAAGTGTTTCACACTTTGTAATTGTCGATTGCACCTCTCAGCCACCTTGGAAGAGGGACCAATGAAAACGTTGTCATTTTGCCGTTGTTCAGCATGGAAACATTCATTAGCTAACAATGACATTATTGTTCTATTAATATTAAGGGAGGTCAGGTACTCTTTAAAACAGCTGGTAGTTATGGGTACTTTTTACTTAAGTACATTTCAAAGCCCATACTTCTTTACTTTTACTTGAGTAAAGAAGTTTAGACAGTACTTCTACTTTTACCAGAGTATTTTTAAACACGAGTATCTGTACTTCTACTTGAGTAAAGGATGTGTGTACTTTTGCCATCTCTGGTTACCGGCCTCATCAACAAGGCCCGGGACCTCCACTGACACTGGCTTTTATCCAGCCCATAATAACATAAAGCATTACATTAATCACATCATGCAAACAACATATTGTTCTTTTTTAAATTGTAAATCCTGAACATGTTGCAAAGGCAGTTTTTTTTGTTCCACTAGTGGGCGGTAATGCCTCTAAACACCAAAGAAGAAGAACCAATGAAAGAAATACGATTGGAAGAAAAGCACCCGCCCCCCCTAGTGACGTAACTTCCTCCACTAGACTTTAAAATAAAGGTTGTGAACGCCACATAAACCTTAGTATTAGTATTAGGGCGATTTGAAGATGAAATAACAATCAATTAAGATGTCTATGCTATTATTATGAATGTTTGTAACAGTGTGTGTTGTTTAAAAAGAAACACGCTAAAATAAACAACTCTTATTTTGACATTCAAACTGCCATCCGGAACCACATCCGGCTGTCTGCTCTCAGGACTGTGAACCAAACAGACCCAACAGAGCCATGTCCACTTTAGCTAAAGCGATGTCCAGTAAGTATGGTATTCATTTAAACTTATTTAAAGTCGTGCATTAAACCGAGTGCATGTACAGCTTTGTGTTATCCACCGTGTGTAAAAGTTAAGACTGTTAATCTGCGTTTCTGGCTAATTTAGACAACATATTTAAAGTAGCCTATATATACATGTTTGTTGTTGTGCTTCTATCATTATTATATATCACACCCTTTATTCCCATTGCACAAAGTACATGTGCATGTTCGTTGTCTAATAAAACGAAATGCAGTTTAGCATTATAATCAGAAGTAATAAACAGTCAAATGCAGACAGCGAATTAGAATACATGTAATATACTGAATTATGAAAGTATGTAAACTGCACTACACTATGTTCAATAACTCCTTGCTAAATTGCTCATATAAGTGCAAGTGCTAAAATCATTTTAATACATTATAGCAGATTATTATTGTTGTGTCATGCAATGAATTTACAATATTGTTCATGTTAATTAACGCAGTGACTTTACATGAATGCAGCATTGAAGTTATACTCTGGGCAAGTACAAAGTACATGTACTACACAACAAACTGCAGTTTAGCATTTGTGTAATGGTTAATCAGAAATACTTAACAGCAAAGTGCAGAGAAACAGACTAACAGATAACTGTTATATGCTAACTAATGAAAGCATGAAAAAAGGGTGGATTTAAGAGTGGAGAAATGATAGTTTAATTAAATTAAAACGCTCACGCTCTGTCTGTTTTCCTGTTTTATTTTGAAAGGTGTTCAAGTTTCAAGGCTTTTATTGTCATGTGTGCACAGCTACAGTGTAGTTATGACAATGAAAATCTTAGGTCACATGCTCCTCCAACAGTGCAACACAATAAAACAGATACAAGAAAATAAAATAGAATATAATAGAAACAGAATATAATAGAAACTGTGCAGAATAGTCTATATAAACCGCTCGGTTCAAACCTCAGCCCGTATTTTGGTTATGCTTTAACGCTTTGCTGCATTTTGTCTTTTGAAGCTGTTGCTATTTCTCTGTGTTTCTCTTTCAAGCCAGTTCAGGTTGCAGGTTAAATTGCCCTCCGTGGTGCTGTGATATTGCACCGGCACCATGGGGAATATCTGCCCTTCAAGGTTCTTTATTTAGTCATACGAACATAGCTACAGTGTAGTTATGCCGATGAAAATGTTGTGTCACCCCCTGTCTCATGTCTTTTTCTACTTCCTGTCTCTCTGTTTTCCCTCCTGTCTGATTGCTGATTCTGGTCACCTGGTGCCCTTGTGTTTTCCTCCCCAGCTGTGTCTTGTCCTCTGATTGGTTCTGCATGTATTTGAGTTCTGGCTTTAGGATTCTTGAGTTTCAGTTTAAAATATTTGTCTGTTCAACCTGCTCTGCTAAACCCTGACACATGTTAGTGAAAGTAATGCTAAATGAATTACAATAAATGTGTCTTATGTGGCAGACCTTTTTTTAATTAAGTTATTAAGTTGTTTCATGAACACGATGTATTTTGTGTTCCCTCAGAGTTTCGCCTGGCTGTGGTGCAGCTGCAGGTGGGGGCGGTGAAGGCTGATAACCTGAGCCGAGCCAAGAGGCTGGTGAAGGAGGCGGCCGGGCGGGGGGGCAACCTGGTGCTGCTGCCGGTCAGTGAGGGGGGGGTCATTATTTACCATACTTTACCTCTATGGTCCCATTATCCAGTGCACTGAGAATCAGTTGACAATATGATTTTTATTTCATAACCAATGTAATCCGAATCAGAAACGGGTTTATTACCAGGTAGGTTGACACGTACGAGGAATTTGACTTGATGTCGTGGTGCATACATAAAAGTAAAACAAACATTTTAAAAACACAGATAGAGAACTATTATAAGAAAACTATAATAACATTACAAATATAGTAAAATAAAATATGGCAGTATTTACAATTAATAGAATGGATGACAGCTACTTAAGTCATATTCAGACCCAGATACTGATAATTCCAAAACAGGGAACCTAGAGAAGTGTCTAAACGTGTAATCTCTGGCTTTTTGGCTATAATAGGATATAGCTTGTCTAATGTATGTGAGGAGTGGGACTAATGCAACATATCAGTGAGTTACAGTCACAGAAGCTGCTAATGTGAAACTGAAACCCATATTTTCTATCGTCATCGTTACAGGAGTGTTTTAATTCCCCGTACGGCACCAGCTTCTTCTCTCAGTACGCAGAGAGGATCCCCGGAGAGTCCACAGAGCTGCTGTCAGAGGCAGCCCGGGAGAACCAGGTCTACCTGGTGGGAGGTGAGAGAACAGGGTTTTAATCCACCGTGAGTTTGTATTTTGAAGGAGCTCTATGATGCTCGTCTTCAGCTGTATATCAGTATGTAGTGTCTCTACTGTGACATGTCTCCATGCTTTAATGTTCAAAAAGCTCTTTATTCTTCTCATACTGCCTGTGCTGCAGCACCTCTTTTCACCCTCTGTCTGAAACCAGAGGCCAGTCTGCTCTGATTAGTTAGCTGGCCGGCTCTGTTGTGATTGGTCAACCTGCTTAGAGTTGTCCCTCCCCCTTAGCCAATCACGTACAATGTGTTGGAGCGCTAGCCAATAGGAGCGCAAGTGTAACAGAGATGTCACTATGTTTAGGGAGTAAACAAAGGATTCCAATGGAGGGTTTCAGACGGGGGGCGGGGGATTTTAGCCTTTGTAGACCATTTACATGCACAAAAACCTTTAGCACACACTACAGGAAAGGGAAAACCCCCAAATGCATAACAGGGCCGCTTTAAAAGATAAGAAAGCTAAGCCCTAACATGACAGGAAGCACTTGAAATTACAGTAGTACAAATGAATAATAATCCAAACTTTTTTAATGTATGTAAACGGCACATTAATGTAAAAGGCATTCTCTCATTCACCAGGATCGATCCCTGAGGAGGACGGGGGGAAGTTATATAACAGCTGCATCGTGTTCGGGCCTGATGGGAAAATTATTCTGAAACACAGGAAGGTACGTGAGCATCAACTCCAGTTCTTAGTTTGTGAATAGTTTATTTCTCAGAGATCACAGCAGCTAATGTATATCTTCCAGATTCACCTCTTTGACATCGACGTGCCGGGGAAAATCCGTTTTCAGGAGTCCGAGACTCTGAGTCCAGGAGACACTTTGTCCATGTTTGAAACACGTAAGTGACCATACTCCGGTGACTAGTCATTTTAGTAGAATACATTTTTTAAAGTAACCCTCCCACCCCCTCACTCTGTGATTCTCCCTCAGCGTTCTGTAAAGTGGGCGTGGGGATCTGCTACGATATCCGCTTTGCAGAGCTGGCTCAGCTGTACAGCAGACAAGGTGAGAGGTGGATATTCAATTGAAATCTGAGCTGATTTTACAGATGATTTAAAGGTCACCTATTGTGCAAAATCCACTTTCTCATGTCTCTTCTTCATCAACATGTGTCCCCTCTGTGTAAAGAGATTCTGAATGTTTCAGGAACAAAGACCCCCTCTCTTTTTGTCCTGATCCATTTATATAAAAACCTGTCTGAAAATGAGCTGATCAGATTTTGGCCACTTTATGATGTCATAACGATTTTTTGGCTTGTGTAACCATTAGCCAATCACCAACCAAGGTAACGACTAACGACCCCCCCCCCCCCCCGAAAATCAGCGATGTAAACGGTGACGTCATGACGCAGCAGCAGCAGCTCTGGGCGGTGTGAACAGAGCGGGAGCTGAAAAGGGAAACCGGAGCTGAACCAGAAAAGCTCTAGCTAGGAGCTAGAAAGGGAAAAGCGCTGGTGTGAAAGCCGCATCAGAGGGGCGTGGGGAGTGGCTCCTTATTTTCATCTAAAGTAACAGACAGAGAATCAGCACTTTGGAAACAGGGCTGAAACAGAAGGGATTATGGGATGCTGCAATGATCTGTTTGGTGTTTGGAGCCAAACACTTCAGAGACATGTTTTGTATATATCTGAGACCTATAATATATTGATGAAAAACAGTATAATAGGGGACCTTTAATGTTAATATGGGTTGTTTTTGTGTCCTCAGGCTGCCAGCTGCTGGTGTATCCCGGAGCTTTCAACATGACCACGGGTCCGGCTCACTGGGAGCTGCTGCAGAGAGCCAGGTTAATATTCATCGGAGGGGAGAGAGTGAGATTAGGAAGAGAACCAGAAAAAAGGAAACCCTCCAATAGTTGTTTCCTATAAGTCTGAGCCCTGGTTGGATCCTTTCTCAGTGTCATAATTAATAAGTGCAATGTGTCCGGCATTAGAAGCATCACCAGAGACCGTGATAATTGCATGTCAATGATGTGATGATAATGAACTTTTATACTATTTGAATGGAGCTTTTAAAGTTTAGAGCCTTATGACCTAAGAGCTCTCTTTGTTTCCCCTGCAGGGCGGTGGATAACCAGCTGTACGTGGCCACAGCGTCTCCTGCTCGAGACGAATCCTCGTCATACGTGGCCTGGGGACACAGCACTGTCGTTAACCCATGGTACAGAAACAGACACATGTTACGTTCTGAACAGCTGTGTGAATGAAAGGGCTGCAGAATATTTTAAAAGAAAAGTGGTGGATTAGATATATGAAGTAGTATACTAATGTGAAACTACTCGTAAGCTTTTGTTTTGCTTTTCTGTGAATATTTTCTGCAGACTTGCGATTGTTATAATTTGTCTTTTCAGGGGAGAAGTGATCTCAAAGGCCGGAACAGAGGAGGAAGTCATTTACGCCGACATTGGTGAGTGGAAGATCAAGAGATAAATGATATTTTAAAATGATTTTGTTTTAGCCATAGCAGACAATTGACATGCACTAAAACCCCAACAAGCAGAATAGGGCCTCTTTAATGCAGGGCAGTTGTATTGGATTGCATTAGATCACCCAGGTGTCTTTTTTTAAATTCTTTATAAGTTGTCCTGATTCTATCTTCTGATCTCAGACCTGCAGTATTTAGCCGACGTCAGGCAGCAGATCCCGATCACGGCTCAGCGTCGACACGACCTCTACTCGGTGACCTCTGTGCAGCGAGGAAACAGCTGATCACAGAGAAGAGACGGAGACACAAACTCTGCTGCAAATCTAACGTCTCACTGTGGAAACTAGAGATCAAAGAGAAGAGCTCTGTTCTTAAGATGTGATCATTCAGTGTGATGGCTGGGGCTGAAATGAGTTCAAATAACAAACATTTGGATCGATTTTGTAAGCAGAATATTGTAAAAGTGAACATTTTCATTTTATAGCTTTTTTAAATGTGACAATCTGCAACATTTAATTCATTTCATTTCACTGTAAATGAATCAGTTTTGCCCCTTTTTTTGCGGATGAAATTATGTATTGATTGCCACACTAGATATTTCAAATGTAAAAAGAAAATATACTCGCGCTGTAAAATAAATCTAAAAAACAAACTATCCTGGTGTTTTATTGTCCTTTTTATTTTATTCTCTCACACAAGACTGCATAAAATCAAGACATTAAAAAAGGGAGAAAATAATATTAAAAGTTAAGAAAAACATACATTCTTTTGTCAAATACAAAAAGACAAAAGACAACATGTAAAAATGTACCAGAAAAAACAACTATCTCATAAAAAGAAAAAGATACAAATAAATGGAGCCTCTTAATAAAGCTTGTAACAGACAGTGTTTTCTAATAAAGACTATTTTTATAGCTTCATTTAAAAAAAACCTACCAGATGTATTAACATTGAAAAGGTAAACCAGGGTAACAACAAATACATATTTACACATCAGTGCTGTCAGTGAACGGCTCCTTAAACCTCGCTCTCTTTCTCCGGCTTCATCGCCTCCTTCTCCTCCTCCTCCTCCTCCGGCTTCATCGCCTCCTTCTCCTCCTCCTCCTCCTCCTTGTCCGGACTTCTTCTTTTATATCCTGACAAAAAACACATTCAAACCAATAAATACACACATCCCTGCAGAGATATCATATCTTCATATTTATAATAAATCCTTTCTCTGACTGAAGTAGCGATCACCGTTTAGATTTTTATTTTGGTAGATGTTTGAGATATATCTGAAATATTGATCTCATTATTTCATTTACCTGACAAATTCAAATGTTAGGAATAAAAAGTTCAGGTTCAGGTTATTTATTTGTACCCGTACTGTAGGTAGATTTTGTTTGCAGAGAAAAAGACAAGGGTTCCATCCTGACACTAAAAACAAACACAGACACATCTCTTAAGGCCGCTACACACCCACCTGAGACCAAAGAACGCGTACCGAAGGCGTCCCGACTTTTACGTCAGCTAAGTCGCCTGCGTCCGCTACGCCGCCCGCCTACGAACACACCGCAAATACTTCAGTCGACGAGTGGCAATAACTGTCCTTACCAGCAGGCAGCGGTAGTGTGAACAGCCAATCAGAGTGATTGCTTGGGCCGACTTTCTCTGACCTCCCGCGGCCGATTCAACATGTTGAATTCAACATGTTGAATCGGCCGCGGGAGGTGTGAAAAGGTGCCGTAAAGAGACGACGGTGTGGGACACACAAACCTGAGTAGGGCGCCGCGAATGCCCGACTGCCTCTGACGGCCTCTGACTCCCAAAATCGGGTTGGTGTGTAGCCAGCTTAATAAAAGGACTAGTAAAAAGTACAAGTATACCCTGCTCAACCAAATCTCAAAATATTTCAAAAACATTTTAAGAAGGAAAACACTAGTACAAACATGGACATTCAAAATTCATAATTAAATAAATAAATAAAAATAGGCATCTGTGTGACGCTCCTATGATGTGTTAATTTGTGCAATAGCTGCTGGGATAAAACTGTTTTTATACCGCTTCGTTCTACTCTTTGGGAACTAACCCCTGGCCCGAAGGAACAACTATATTATCCAACTATTTTGATAATTGATTAAAAAAAAAGTATTTTTCCAGCCTTGTAAATGTGAGCGTCGCGGAAATAAATAACAAATAAATCCGCCTTGTGAGCGCAGGCCTCAAAATAGCATTTATTAACTATTTTATAACATTCTTGACATTTACATCCAATTTTTCTGGCTTTTTCATAAACTTTGAGTACATTTCACATATATTTGTTGTGCTTTTATCAGAAAAAATGACTAGAACTTTTACAGATTTTTAAATGTGCTTCACTGAGTTTACTTTTCAAAAGTTATCTTCTGATAGTCGAATAATATTTAAAATACATTTCTCCTGCAGAACTGCCTTTCAATGCCGTCTTTAGCCTCTCAAGATTTGGTGACGTGAAATACTTTCATACACAAATAAAAAGTCTGCCTTGCATAAATTCACTTTTCACTTACATTCATCAAATATTTTTCTGACATTTTATACATCCTTTGAGGGCATTTCACTTTAATTTATTTACGTTTACCGCACACACACTTTGAGATCTGACCAAAAATGAATATATTTTAATCCTGTCTGAGAAAAAGTCAGAATTCTGACTTCTGACTTTTCTGAAACTGGTTTGAATTAAAGTATTTAAATGCTGTTTTCAGCCTCTAAAAAAATGGAGACTTTCTACTTCTTCTCCGTTTTGTTTAACATATTAAAGTGAATATCTTTGGACATTTAGAAATATAACCTTGGCCTCTGTTTTAACTTTTTAATGCTATTTTATTTCTATTTCAGAAATATTTTGGATTGTTTATTTCTAGTGTCTTAATTTCTGTGTACATTGCCTTGTGTTTTTTATGCTGCTGCAACGCAAACATTTCCCAAATTGGGATCAATAAAGTACCTATCTATCTATCTATCTATCTATCTATCTATCCATCTATCCATTTATCTATCTATCCATCTATTCATCTATCTATCCATTTATCTATCCATCTATCCATCTATCTATCTATCTATCTATCTATCCGTCTCTCTGTCTGTTTGTCTATCCGTCCGTCCGTCCGTCTATCTATCTGTCTGTCTGTCTATCTATCTATCTGTCTGTCTATCTATCTATCTGTCTGTCTATCTATCTATCCGAGAAACTGGGATTTTCCATATGTGATCAGTGAAAGCAGCAGAAACAGGTCTACCTCTGGACTGCAGCTTCTGGAAGTCGTGCTTCTTCCTCTTGTGGATGCGGTCCAGGTGGATCTGGTAGGCGACCCCCATCAGCACCATGACCCCGACCACCACACACAGCGCCGTGCTGAAGATCCACATCGCCTCCGAGGCCCGGATCTGCACCGCGCTGCGACTCACCGAGTCTGAAAACACACAGAGAGGGCAAAAGTACACACATCCTTTACTCAAGTAGAAGTACAGATACTCGTGTTTAAAAATACACTGGTAAAAGTACTGACTAAACTTCTTTACTCTTTATCGGAGAACTATAATATATTAATGAAAAACAGTATAACAGGGGACCTTTAAGAAACATTATTTGCTTGCTTGTCCTCTAACTTAGTTTCTGCCATTACAGTCCACTCACCAGAGCTGGAGGAGAGGGTCTCGTTGAGTTTGGGGTTCTCCACGATGCAGGTGACGCCGCCGCCTTTGGAGAGGTTGACGGTGAGGCGGCTGCTGATGTTGAACAGCTGGGTGTCGGGGAGGGGGGTAGTGATGGTGGTCACGGCGCCCGGGGGGGGGTCCTCCTTGTTGTTGATGAGCCAGGACAGAGTGGGCGCAGGGAAACCCCCGCTGGACTCACAGGAAAACACCGCCTCCCCGCCTCCATGCTTAGACTCCTCCCTCTGCAGCAGGGGGGTGCTGAAACTGGCTGCAAACACACACACAACACACTGTTAGCTGCTCTTTATGTCACATTGCTGGGTTAAAATGTCTACCAGACCATGTTATATATATATATATATATATATATATATATATATATACTTGGAAACTTACATTTTCCCTAAAGTTTCCACAATTTTTCGTTATTTGTGACTGATTTTTGTGACTAATATTTAGTTATTATAATAGATTTTGAGGGAAATATTCCAGATATAACCCGTGACCAGTAAATGCAATCTTCTTGAGGACATATCCTTAAGTCCTAACAGTAAGTAAGTATACATGACGAATAAAAAAAAGACTATTTACTTTTACATGAGCCTTTTAGCTTATAGCATTCCTGCATGTGTCCATTGGAGAAACACAGATTTTTCAGTCATTTAATTGGTTTTAATCAGCGTAATTTTAGTGAGAAGGAGACATCTAAAATATAAAATGTAAAACAAGTTTAAACTTCCATAAATACCAACTTCCAGGTTTTTAAGGTACCAGAGAAACACGTTGTCCTAACGTTAGCGGCAGCTTGGGCGCCTGTTTTTCCCAAATTCGTTTTTCAGAAGGGGAGACCACTGTCAATAATTTGTCTCAGAAGTTAAACATCTCAAATCATGAACACTGGAATAATCCTAACTTGTAGAATCAGAATCGGTTTTATTATTAGGTTTTATTAAGGAGGTTTAGACATACGAGGAATTTGCTTTGGTGTTAATGGTGCATACAAAGACACAGAAATAATAATACTTTTTAGTTTTAAAGACTATTATAAAAGCTATTTTAAAAACGATTGTGACTGATAAAATAACAACAATATTTACACTAAGAATAAATATGTAAGAAACTGGGATGTGCTTTTATTGTATTTTTGATGAATTTGCAAATGTAATTATATTCTTGTTTTGTACTTTAAACTGATTTCTAGTAACTGCAGACTTTTTATTTTTTAGCATGTCTTATGTCTAATCTTGGGGAATGTTCGGTTGTGTTTGTGTAATGTGATAAATGTAAAAAATCTATACATGTTTAAAAAAATAAACTGAGTCGAGTGAAATAAAAAACAATATGCTTTAATGAAAGTGGAGAGCTGTGCAGATTTAAAAAGAGTGTGGAGCAGAGATTGTTGTGCAGGATTTCCAGTGTTAAAAAGAGCCAGATATTGATATTGCTGTATCTGACGGTGTAGGAGCCAAAATGCCCTACAATGTGATTGTCACATGGGTGTGGTTAATGGTATTTAGGGCACCTGGTGTATGTGGAGGTTTGGTAGCATGACAATGGGGGTGAGCTTAGCTCTGATATCTTTTGTTGACCGTATGATTCTGTTTGTTTAGAAGAAGAAGAAGAAGAAGAAGAAGAAGAAGAAGAAGAAGAAGATACACTTTATTAATCCCTTACAGGGACATTTCTTTCCCCACTCTGTTGTGTTTTACACATTACACACACAGGGGAGGATATACATGCACAAACACAGAGGATATACATGCACACACACAACCACATGCAGATAGGAGAGGTGGCAGAGCAGTTTCGAGGTTAGGTGCCTTGCTCAAGGGCACCTTGGCAGTGGCCTTGGAGGTGAACCTCTCCAGCTACCAGCTCACTTTTTTGGTCCGATCGGGACGTGAACCGGCGACCCTTTGGTTCCAAGACCAAGTCCCTACAGACTAAGCCACTGCCGCCCCCTTGAAACGT